TAATAATTGAGAAACGGTCATTCCAGTCTCCCTAGTCGTTGTCGGTAATGCCCTTCTACTTACAATACTAGCCGCTGTGTGGCTGCCGACAAAGGCCGGAGAGTGAGTCGCGAGGACTAGTGAGTCCCGTAGACGGCGCAGTTGAGCGGGGCTCGCGTAAGTCGTGCCGCGACGGTAGGAAGGCGCTATAGTTAGCGGTTTAGGTTAGCGTTTATCCGCCAAGGCATAAATGCTGTGATAACTAGGAGATGCCCCTCAATCTCAAATAAACCCCCCACACACACATATGAGTAGACGAGGTGCGCATGTAGGGGTTACGAGTTGATAGACTGGTAGACATAAGTGGCCTTTGTCATACTTGGCCGCTATTGCCTTCATCCGATACCCAAAGAAGCTGTCCACTGAGCAGCAGTCATAATCAAATGACTATTCAGATTAACGGACTAAGTCGGATAAGGGTTGCCGGTGTGTCTCCGCCTCCGAATACTTGTTTGTACGTAGTCTGAAGCAAGCAGTAGGAAGGAAATAGTCGCGTTTTGGTCGATATAGACGAGGCTGACGTCAAGTTTGCCAGTGTGCCCAGTTTAATTAACAGTTATTTGGGAGTAGTCTTGCCCATGTACCGAAAATACATGACGAAAGACTTAGGCTTATGCCGCGTCAGTCCTCCCCCTCACCACAATAATTTCACGAGCATAGGTATCCTCGCGGAGCGGAGCGGCGCAGCAGTAAATGGGATCAAGTCCAAAACAAAACCTTCGAAGATCTCACAAATGCCTTCAATACAGTGAAACAAGATAAGCCCGGTAAAACATGACGAAATGTAGATGTCCCAAAAGGTTCACGATGACGTCGACTTTGAAGCAACCCTCGGAACTAAAAAGTCGTGTAAAGTAATCTCTCGCGCTTCGACTCTCGCAGCTTAACTCTATTGTGTATTTTAGATGCAGACGTATCTCAAAATATATATCGCAGATTTCTGTGGACAATGAGCCATTTCACTTTAGGTGCATGCTTCCTCGGTTGGTTTGCCCAGTTGATGTCATACATTGAGTGGTATTAACGGATGGCTGTATTACGTTTTAAATAAAAGGTGGAATCCTACTCTGGGTCCCAGAAATTGTTTAAATAATCTAATGCTTTCGCAACAAAACAGCCCGCCATAAATAAACACATAAATGTACTTATATTTCTTACCTACTTATAGTTTACTAGGTGTGACAGATTTGGGCATTTTTTACTTACTGAGACTTTACATTTTATTGGGTTTCATGATATTCCTGAAAAACAGTTTGGTGGTTAGGAGGTCGTTGACTTCAACTTACTCAACGGTCCAACTTACCGTTCTGGAGTTAGATTAATTTAATTCCTTTGTATTGCCTAGGCTGTATACTCCTTATTTCACCCAGTTAAAGAAAGCCGGGGTTTTTCGTGCTGATCCGAGACCCAAAGTAGGATTTGACCAAATAAAATGCCTCAATGATATAGGAACGTTTTGTGTGGGCAAATTTTCGAGATTGGTCCTTCAGTTCTTCTTCCTTTTTAGGTGTACGGAAGACGTACAAAAAGAGTTAATTTTTTTCTACTGAGCTTAACAAGTGATCATGTGGTCAGCTAAAGTTTGCGCCAGTAATTGTCTACTGCAGCCCGTCAGCCAGGCAGGATCAGCTGCGTTCGCATTCACTCCTCAGTCAAGGTACAGTAGGAGACATGCGCGTACCACGTTGCCTTGCCTTTGGCTGCCCGACGACGTCTAATAAGTCAGAACTTGTCATCTCAGTTTTCCTTGTCTTTGATGGTGGCTATTCTGTGTTATAGCCAGTCGGTATGCGACTGTATGCAAGGGCCCTAGATTGACCTCTAAGTGCAACAGACAGGGGTGTCTAACGAAGGCTAGTACGCAAAGCAAGCAAAAGGCGTGAACAATACTCACCGAAGGACCCAAAATGAGACCATAGGGACCTTCGCTGGGAATAAAGGGAAGCTTCTGCTCCTGATCCATAGCGAACATGATAATGGGCAGAGCAAAGACCATAGTTTTGCCAGATCCGGTGAAAGCAATGCCGATCATGTCACGACCCGAGAGCACTGCGGGTAGACCCTGCATCTGGATAGGTGTAGGGTTTATGATATTGCGAGAACGCAAGTCCTCCACGACCACTCGCGGCAGCAACATCTCACGAAAGGAGCGAATAGGCGGCGGTACTGATTCACCATCAACAAGGATGTGATACTTCCTACGGATGGCGTCAGATTTTTCCTCTGTCTGTTCTGTTATCCAGGGTGCTGGTTTCCAACTAAAATGATCAAAATGCAACAGCATTAGGAAAATACTTCATGCTCATAACAGTAGTTCATAAACAAAAGAGGCCCGAAATTTAAACCGAGCAAGTTACACTGTAATCGGTTGGGAAGCTGTCGAACGGGATATTCTATTAATTGGCCTGCTATGACAACTTACGCGTGACAGTCCGCGCTACTCGTTTTAACAAGAGAGCGAGTTGACTAATTAACTAAAGACTATTAAACGACCATTTGGACTACTGCATCAAAAGCCGACTATCTGACTTGATCCTTAGGGGGCTTATTTTGTTATTGCCAATTATTTGAGACAGTCAAAATCTTCGGCATAAGTAAAAT